TTTTTTTTTTTTTTTTTTTTTAATCTCGAGGCCAGCGAATGTGGGACACCCATCTTGAGGCCAGCGAATGTGGGACACCCATCCACATGTGCACAGAGCGTTGCATTTAGATGATGATACTCTTTTGCAAGCACTTTACGATTGGCTTCTACGATCGGTCGTTCGACCGTGCTGATATGCTGACTTGCATGTGTGTATAAAACTAGGCTCTTGAGGCTGAGGGGCCGGTTTGGATCCGTGCATGCACGGAGGAAGTTTTGTGGCTGATGAAGTGCATACGGAATGAATTTGTGCAGGAACACTGACAGTGTTCATGGCAAACTCGTGGAGAAACCTTCGGCTACGGGAGAGAGAGCTGCTTCAGATTCAGCGGGAGATGAGAGAGAGACTCGCTATGGTTGCGAAAGAGGTCGAGTCACAAAGGGCAGCCTCGGTGGCCAGGTCAGCAGCACCATCCCATGCAGAGCAGGGAGAGACTGTGGCTGGAGTTGTTGCAGAACAGCAGAGAGCTGCAGTTTGACTTCGATCAGCAAGGGAGAGAGACGAGAGGAGGGGCAGGAGCATGGGGAGGACGGTGGGAAAAAGGGAAGGAGGAGGAGAAATAAGATGAGTAGGGCAAGGAGGAGGAGGGCGAGGCGGTAGAAAAGGGGTGGTGTCGGGTGGTGGTTTTTTTTGGGGGGGGGGTGCGCAATCTCCCAGTTGTTCACTGGGGATATCCTGTCACTCCAGGAGGATGGGGAGGATGGGGAGGATGAGGGGGAAAAGGGAAGGAGGAGGAGAAATAAGATGAGTAGGGGAAGGAGGAGGAGGGCGAGGAGATAGAACAGGGGTGGTGTCGGGTGGTGGGTTTGTGGGGGGGGGGGGGGGGGGGGGGGGGGGGGGAGGACGTGCAGCAGACTTGCACCACCCGCACATGGTCTATCGCTTTCTGCAAAACGTGTGGAGCAGTGGTTTTAGCGTCTAATAATAATTAAAAAAAACTGAATGTTTCTATAAAAAAAGGGGGGTGGGGGGGCCAGAGGGGGCGCGCAGGGGAGGGGGGGACTCAATGTTTCTGCCAACTTTGACATTGATTTGTGCAGAGGAACTGGGTGACGCCGACGGTGGTTAGTGATATTGTTTTTGTCTTCGCTCGAATAGAACGCCCCTCGGTCATTATTGCTGTATGTAGACTGAAAGCTGCCCCAAATGCAGGTGTAATGTGCAGACGTTCTATTTGGGTGAAGACGGTAGTGATATCCAATGGGAGGTCAAGCCATGTTTCTGCCACGAAACAGTACGTAGAACTCTTCAGTCAATTGCCAGGTTGCCAATCTATTATCTATTCTTGGTTCTGGCGGCATGCAACCGGTGCGGATTGTTTGTTTGTTTTTTTAAATAAAAATTTGGACCATTTCTCGATTTATGCGTGTCATCCTTGCGCAGGGGCCATGCTAATCTTCTCTCTGTATCGCTCCAATTTTAACGGATCTCCCGAAGGACGTGGTGGGGATTGTGGCAGATCGGTAAAGCTTTTACAGAAAGTTGTCAAATGTTTTCAAATGGTTGCAGAACCTGGGTTAGGCCGACGTCCGGCCCAGACGGACCGGGCCAGACGGACGGAGGGGGGTCCGTCTGGCAAAACCAGACGAGCCAAAAAACGTCCCAGAATTTTTTTTATTTTCTTTTTGAAGATGGGGTTGAAGCTGTCTCTTATACACATCTAGATGTGTATAAGAGACAGCGATCACTGTCTCTCAATACGTCGATCGTGTGAAATGTTATTTCAAGACCAAGGAAGGTAAGAAGATTCTACTCGAGGTAGCCTTCCTTATAGAG